GGGGGATGTCTAGGAAGCTTACAGCATGGAAAAGGGAAGTGGGGGTCCCCCAGGGAGCTACGGCCCACACCAGGGCCGATATCCAGCTGCTCTCTGGGCTGCTGGCTGAGTGCCGTGAACTTGCCAGCAGTGGCCTCCACTTCCTAGAACAGCCCCCCCCGTCCCTGGAGGTGGGAGAGGGTACCGAGGAGGAGGTAGTCCCTGAGACCCCCCCTGAGGTGGCTAGTGCCAGCAAGACCCCTCAGGCCTCCCTCACCTATGCTGAGGCTGTAAAGGGTGAGGGGGTTGAGGCTAGGGTCTTTATGGGGCTACCTTCTGACAGGCTCCGGGGTCTGCTTGTGTCCCTGAAGGCCCAGCATGCCGAGGCAGACTCTGGCCTAGCTGGGGTCCAGGCAGAGCTAAGGGAGCAGAGGGAAAAATCAAACAGGACCTCTAATTACAAAAGGGCCGCTATAGCTGAGAAAAAATTAGTGGAGCAGCATCTATCCTACACCCTGCTCCAGACTGAAAAGAAAATAGCAGACATCCAGGCCATCCTGCAACAGAGAGCCAAGGACGCTGCGAGGTCCAGGAGGCAGAGGGCTATGGAGGGCAGGAGGGACATGTCCCCAGGTGAGGAGTCCAGCAAGGATTTGGATTCCAACTCCCATCACTCACCTGGGGAGCCGTCTACCTCTGCCGTCTACCTCTGCCCTTGCTACTCCAGGGGGCGCTGCTGAGACGGAGGGGAAGGCCAGAGAGAAGGACAGTGAAGAGGAGTGGGACGGAGAGAAAGGTGAAGAGTGGCAGCTGAAAGTGCAGGACAGAGGTCGAGGGCTGATTAAGGAGTCTCTCCTCAAGTTTGGAAACGAACTTGGGGAGGACTCCGTAAAGGACAAAAAGAAGAAAAAGAAAAACATCGCCCGGCGTCAGCCTGAGACCTCTGTCAAGGGGTCTGGAGATTCCACAGAGGAGGGTGAGTGCTCAAATGCTGAGTATATGTACAATGATGATGTTCAGGCCTTGCAGAAGCCTGGGGCCAGGGATACTAACCCTGCAGGTGGCAACACCTGTATGCCCCAGAAACCTGCACAACCTGCTTCTGTGGAAGTATCTGGGCCCCCCGCCGCCCTCCATGGTGACAGGGAGACCATCCCCGCCGGTACTATGGCGTGTACCGGTGATCCCATGGAGGGGTCCTTCCCTTGCTCCCTTCCCACTCCCTCCCTTACCTGCCTTCCCTCTGACCTTCCTCTCTGTGTGGTTGCGTCCCCTGGAGTGGCTGGTACCTCTGCCTCCTGTCCTCAGGCGGCTGCTGGGCAGGATGGCACTGGATGGAGCAGTCTGGAGCAGGGTGATGGCCCTCCTTTTCCCTCTGCTCCCTTGGAGCAAGCTCGACTGCTCTCCCCTACCAGCAAGTCTCCTCCCCTGTTTGCTTCCCTATGTGTTCCCCTTATGTTTGAATGTGTAACCAGTCCCCCTGTTGTTCCTGTTGTTCCTGTTGTTCCTGGTGCCGCGGGTGCCGCTGGCGCTATGGAAGACAGGACTGCAGGGGACTCCCATCATCCTCAGCCAGCAGTCCATACTGAGGAAACCGCCAGTGGAGGTAAGAAAAGTATGACTAACATTGTGTTTGACTCCACTGGTGGTTTAGGGATGGCTGAGGAGGATGGGAATATGGATGTAAATGTAATGATGGGACCTATTGGCCTTAGTAAAAAGGTCCACAGCCAGCCTGTTTGTATTAATGATGTTGCCCCTGCCCCTGGTGTTGTTGCCCCTGCCCCTGGTGTTGTTGCCCCTGCCCCTGGTGTTGTTGCCCCTGCCCCTGGTGTTGTTGCCCCTGCCCCTGGTGTTGTTGCCCCTGCCCCCGGTACTATTGCCCCTGGTGTTGTTGCCCCTGCCCCTGGTGTTGTTGCCCCTGCCTCTGGTTATGTTGCCCCCGCCCCCGGTACTATTGCCCCTGCCCCTGGTACTGTTTCCCCTGCCCCTGGTTATGTTGCCCCCGCCTCAGGTTATGTTGCCCCTGCCCCTGGTTCACTGGAGTTAGTTGGTACACAGGTGGCGGGCACGAGCACGGGCACAGGCACCCTGACAAAGGGTGCTGCGGTTATAAATAGTTTAGACGCACAAGCAGGTACACGGGTTCCCCTTAGGCACTCCCAGGTTGTCACCCAGGGTTCTGGTGTGACCGAGGCCTCTGGTTCAGCGAGGGGAGTCCGTCCGAATCATTCCCAGACGGCGGGTCCCGGTGCGCCCAATGCTTGGGCATCTGGGCCACCTCGCCTCTCTGCGGACAGGCCTGCTACGCATCCTCAGGTTTCCTTTGGGAACAGGAGGAGCGTGGTACGGCTCATCTGTGGGGGTGAGACCCAGGTGCCTGACAGACGGTGGCTGGTGACCCGGCTAAAGGATATGGGATTTGCGCCCGTGGACCTGTACGCGCTCATCCATGCCTTGGGCACCCGGGAGTTCGACGTCTCCTTTATGACGTCGCAGCTCCTGGATCGCTTCTGGGCTGGGTGGGAAGCGGCCAGGTCTGCACAGGGTACAAAGTGGGCAGGATTCACCGCTGTGGCCATTTCTCGCCAGGGTCTTAAGAAGGTCACTTTCCTGGTGAGAAATGAATCCATCCCCATAGCAGACATCCTTGTTTGGACTAAGAGGTTTGGGGATGTTAAATCCCCCCCCTGTTAAGATCTTAGATGAGGATGGGATTTGGACAGGCGGATGGACTGTTTCAGTGTTGCTGCGGGAGATTCGAGGTGTCACACAGCATATGCCTAATAGTTTTTTCATCGGGGCTGACCGGGTATCCTGTTTTTACCCTGGTCAGCCCAGGGTATGTCACAAGTGCGGATCGTACAGGCATTACAGCAATGCCTGTACGGTCCTCAAATACACTATGTGCGGCGCTGTGGGGCACCTCCGGGACAGCTGCAGGGAGATCCGGTGTCATCTGTGTTCAGAGATGGGTCACACGTACCGCACCTGCCCCGAAGCCCAGCACAATGTAGAGTCCATCTGGAGTCAGGAGCCGGTGGAGATGGACTCTGCTGGGTTAGGGGTTCAGGTAGCATCGTCATCTACAAGGCCCATCTCTGGCACAAGGGGTTTCCCTGCCCCAGCAACAACCCATCCTCCCCTCGGTCTCTGTAACATCTCAGGACCCTGGGAAGGCCACAAGTTCACGTCCCCTCACGAAAAGTAGAGAACGCACTACCTCCACAGCCATTATGGCTCCCCCTAGACCCCCTCCCCCTAGGCCCCCCCCTCCTAAATTCTCCACGGTGAAGGTTACCCCCTCTGAAAAGTCCCCAGATGCACGTCCCTTAGATGCACAGTCCCTAGAGTGGAGCACGGTGAAAGGTAAGAAACCCCCCCCCTCCAAGACCTCGGCGCTGCCCTCACCCCGGAAGATCGCCATACCCCCTGCGGCGAAACCCCCGAAAGGGGGAGACGCCACTTATAAGGGTGGTGTGGCACGGGCGTCATCCTCCTCTTCGGGCTTGCAGGAGGCCCCGGTGCCCGTATCTAACAGGTACGAGGCACTGTCCTCCAGCTGGGCCGATTGTGAGTACGAGGAGGAGATGGCGAACCTCCCCGAGGTGGTGGCAGGGGTTGAGGTGGGACAGGAGGTGCTTCTGAGAGACGACGGGCCACTGTATCCCGGAGTCTCAGTGAAGAGGTTCCTCGGTTCCGACACGGAGGAGGAGGGGTACCGCAGAAGGAAGGGAAAGTCTCCTTATACTTAATGCCCCTATGGCGACTTTTCCTGTACTCTCTGTGGCTACGGTGAATGTAAACAGCATTAAGTCCAGCAGGGCCCGCTTTTTGGTTTACGACCACCTCAGCCGGGCTCCGTACAATGTCATCTTGGTACAGGAGACCCGGCTGGAAACCCTCGCGGCCCTGCACGCTGCAAAGCGGGACTGGAGATGGGGGCCCTCCTACTTCTCTCTAGCCACAGAGAGATATGGGGGAATCACCATCCTATTTAAGGACGTTGATGTTAGCATCAACAGGGTTATTGAGTTGCAAAAAGGACGGTGTGTGGTTTTAGATGTCTCAATGGGCAGGCAACCTTTCAGGATAATTAATATCTATGGCCCCCAATCTAAGTGGGAGAGGAAGCGCCTGTTTATTGAGATAGAGCCTTACCTTTAGAGGCTGGGGTATGACTCCTATTTTTTAAATAAGATGGTTAGTCAGGCTGGATTGGTCGATGTGTACCTTCATCACACTCCCAATCCCACGGGTGGGTACACTTATCACAGAGGTAGCTGTCAGAGTAGGATAGATAGGTTTTTCTTTAAGGAGAATTTCCCAGTGGCGGCACCCGTGCTTACACCGGTGGAGTTCTCCGACCATCACATTTTGTCTTGCGAGTTGAACGTCTATAGTACCCCACCTAAGGGTAGAGGGATCTGGTGGCTAAATTCAGACCTCCTGGTGGAACAGAGGGTTCAGCAAGCCTTCATGGAATTCTTTCGCGATCAGATGACATTGGCCGACTTAGGCCAAACGAAGTCTGAGTGGTGGGAGATGGTGAAGGCCAGAACTCAACGGCTGTTTCGCAATCTCGCCTGGAACATGCAGTCCTCCAGGTACAAGATGTATCTGGGCTTGCTTGGGAGGTTAGACATCCTGATCTCGCAGGGAGGTGACCCCGAGGACATTGCGGCAGTTAAAAACCTGATGAGGAGTTATCAGTATGACAGGTACGCCTCCCTTGTAAAAGAGAGGGATCATGGGTCATACTGCTCGCCCGATCCTTATCTTAGCTGCAAGCGGAAGGAAGGTACCAAGTCCATCCCTAGTCTGCGGGGCACCGACGGGACCCTAGAGGAGTCTCCTCGCGGGATTCTGAAGGTGGTCCGCGACTACTATATTGAGCTCCTCGGAAAGGGCAGCCCCCAATGTAGCGAGGAGGAACCTCCCACGGGAGAAGGGTGGATGACTTCTTGAGCGAGCTCACGCTCCCTGAGCATAGCGACCTCTCTTTTGACGAGTTGGTCAGCGAGATCACCATAGAAGAGGTCACAGAGAGTATCCAACAGCAGAACAAGTGTAAGTCGCCAGGTCCTGATGGTCTGACGGCCGAGTTTTACCAACAGTTCTGCGACCTCTTGGCCCCTCATCTAAACACCGAGGTGTTTAATGAGAGCTTGGCTCAAGGATTATTGCCACCCTCGATGAGGACTTCTGCCCTGATCTTGCTGTCCAAGCCGAACGTGCTCGACACAGCGGATGTGGGGAACTGGCGCCCCATATCCCTGTTAAATGTCGACAGGAAGGTCCTGGCAAAGATTTTGATGAAACGAATACAGGGCCTAGCGAGGCGTGTCCTATCCACCTCCCAGTACTGTTCAATCGAGGGCAGAACTGTCTTTGATGCCGTTTTCGAAGTCAGGGAAGCCCTCGAGAAGTGCAGGGACGGAGAAAGGGGGATATACCTTCTGGCACTTGATCAGTCCAAAGCTTTTGATCGAGTAGATCACCGTTATCTGTGGTCAGTCTTGCGGAAGTATGGCTTTCCGGGAAAATTCGTCAATTGGATAATCACCTTGTACAGAGGGGCCGAAAGCTTCGCTCTTGTGAACGGGTGGAGGGGCAGGACGTTTAGGATCCGATCTGGGGTCAGGCAAGGCTGTCCTCTCAGCCCACTCTTGTACGTGTTTGCAGTCGATCCCTTCATCCGAAGGGTAGAGGCAGGCACGTTACAGGGAGTGGCCAGGGCTCCGGAGAGGCCTTTACGGGTTGTTGCCTACGCTGTTGACATCTCCATAGTGGTCTCCAATACTCGGGAGGCCACGGAGGTGGATGATTTAATCCTAGCGTATTCTGCCGCTTCAGCCTCTCGTGTCAACAGGGACAGGAGCGTAGTTTTCTGGTGCGGGAAGGAGGGGGACCAGTTCCCTCTTCCAGACGGTTTCCCGAGGGCCCAGCCTGAAATTAAGATCTTGGGGGTGGTGTTCGGACCAGGGGATCTGGCTCTCAGGAACTGGACCGAACGGCTTGCCATAGCTTCTAGCAAGGTGGAGGAGAGCCACAGGTGGAAACTGACGTCCAGAGAACGGGTGAACCTAATCAAAACCTATGTTCTGACCGTATTCGGCTACGTCAGTAACATCTTCCTTTTGCCCAGGTCCCTCCACGCTCAGATGTTTGCGCTGTTCTTCCGCATGTTGTGGGGGAACAGGCTGAACCTCATCAAAAGAGAGGTCACTTACCTGGCCAGAAAGGACGGGGGTCTGGCCATGGTCAACCCCATCGTCTTTTTAACTAACAACTTCCTGAAAAGGAACTTTGGGGCTCTCCTGAAGGATGAGCAGCCTGGCTGGGTATGTATATTCAGGGAGTGGGTCACACCTTTCCTGGTGGACTGGTTTCAGGGTGGGAGGGTGAAGAGCATGAGAGTTCTGCATTCTAGCTATCTTCCGTCTTCGGTCATCGAGGGAGTGGGAATTCTGCGCAGGTGGAACGTCACGGTGGAGGAGGTTCGGGACACTCCCAAGAAGCTTCTCGACGGGAGGGTCCTGGCCACCCACTTTGGCATTCAGCTTGCTTTGAAGGACTGCCCGCCAAGTACTCTCGCCTCGGGGTTGAAAAACATCAACTCCAGGCGCCTTCCGGAGAATTACCGAGACGTGGCGTTTCTCTCCTTCCACGGTAGACTTTACGTTCGAGGGAATTTGAAGTACAGGAACATAACGGATCGCGGTTGTCCTCGGGTGGAATGTTCCGGGGAAGTGGAGTCCATGGACCACTTCCTCCTCGAGTGCCCCTTTAACGTACAGGTCTACAAAGAGGTCTCAGCCGCCTTAGGCATCCCCTGCTTATCCCGCTGGACTTATGCGGAGTGGACGTACGGGACGTCCAACTCAAGGGGGAGGGCTTTTGATTTGGGCACTCTTTATGTAGTCAGTTCAGTGGTTAAGTATTTCACTTGGATGGCAAGGTGTCAGGTTTCCCTTCAACGTAAAGACCTTTCCTGTCAGGTGGTGGTAGCAGACATTCTGAGGGCGGTTCAGGGGATCTATACCACCGAAAGGGCCTCTATGGATCCCACCATTTGGCAGCGTTTGTGGCGAAATCTCAAGGTCCACCCGCCTTGAACCGCTCCATGGGCGCCCTTGTCTTGGTGAAGGGAATTCCAAATCTGTCTTCACCTTTCCCCCGTAGATTTTGAACTGGTTTTTCTTTTCATGGAAGGCTGCCACCTTTAGCAGACGAGTACCTTCCTCTGCGTCTAGGTAGTGCAGTGTAGTTAGGTTATGGTTATGCACAGGTTATTTTTGGTATTGTTTGGGTTAGGGTGGGTTTCTGGTGTATGGACAAATTGAAAAATTTACTTTGGGTGGGAAAAAAACAAAAAAAAAAACACTGGGTTTCTTTATGGACGGAGGGATGGACTCCTTGAGGGTGGTGTACAAACTGGATTTCATGTGGGTGGTGGGTCTATGGACAAAATTTTGATTTCATGTGGGTGGTGGGTTTGGATGTGATGAACTGAGAAAAGGACTCCATTTGGGTGGTGGGTTTGGGGGATGGACGGAGGGATAGACTCCATGAGGGTGGTGGGTTTTAGGAATTGAAAATGGACTCCATTTGGGTGGTGGGTTTGGGTTTAAAGTTTGGGTTTAAAGTGTAGGTGGTGGGTTGGTGTTGATGGACGGAGGGATGGACTCCATGTGGTTGGTGGGTTTTATGAACTGAGAAAAGGACTCCATGTGGTTAATGGGTTTGTTTATGTTTATGTGTGTATTTTATTTCACGCTTGGGTTTATGTTTGTGTTTAGCTGGCTGTGGACTCGAGGTCAATTGGGTCCCCCCTTGTCCCCCCCTTGTTATGTAAGAGCTCCTTCAGGAGCATTTCAGCCTTTTTTCTCCCTCCCCAAGGCTCCATGAAGTAATGGAGCCCCCTGCCTTTTAATTTATCCCCTTATGATTTAGTTCCCCCCCCCTTTTCTGTTAATCCCTCTCCCTGTTATTCCCAGTTATTTAATTTGGTATAAGTTTACTCCCCTATTAGTGCCCCTTCCTGAGTTTTTATTTCGGTATTTATGTTTAATTTTGGGGTATTTATGTTTCATTTGGTATTATGTTTGAATTGGACATTATTTCAGTTGATTGTTTATTATTGTTATTTTGTTATTTATTTTGTTATTCTGTTTAATTTTGGAAGCATTTTACAAAACTAAATAAAATATTCCAGCCATTACACCATTATCTCCCCCTGCCGGCCAATCCTGCCATTACACCATTATCTCCCCCTGCTGGCCAATCCAGCCATTACACCATTATCTCCCCCTGCTGGCCAATCCTGCCATTACACCATTATCTCCCCCTGCTGGCCAATCCAACCATTACACCATTATCTCCCCCTGCTGGCCAATCCAACCATTACACCATTATCTCCCCCTGCCGGCCAATCCAGCCATTACACCATTATCTCCCCCTGCCGGCCAATCCGGCCATTACACCATTATCTCCCCCTGCCGGCCAATCCAGCCATTACACCATTATCTCCCCCTGCTGGCCAATCCAGCCATTACACCATTATCTCCCCCTGCTGGCCAATCCAGCCATTACACCATTATCTCCCCCTGCTGGCCAATCCAGCCATTACACCATTATCTCCCCCTGCTGGCCAATCCGGCCATTACACCATTATCTCCCCCTGCTGGCCAATCCAGCCATTACACCATTATCTCCCCCCTGCTGGCCAATCCAACCATTACACCATTATCTCCCCCTGCCGGCCAATCCGGCCATTACACCATTATCTCCCCCTGCCGGCCAATCCGGCCATTACACCATTATCTCCCCCTGCCGGCCAATCCGGCCATTACACCATTATCTCCCCCTGCCGGCCAATCCGGCCATTACACCATTATCTCCCCCTGCCGGCCAATCCGGCCATTACACCATTATCTCCCCCTGCCGGCCAATCCTGCCATTAGACCATTATCTCCCCCTGCTGGCCAATCCGGCCATTACACCATTATCTCCCCCTGCCGGCCAATCCAGCCATTACTGCTGGAGAGGGAGCTGCTCTGCGCTTCATCTGTGTGTTCCCAGGACCACACCCGTTTGTGGCTGCTTTTGGAGCTCGATTTCTGGGCTTTGGAATTACTACAGCAAGGGGCTCTGCCTGGGCCTAGGCAAGCATGGCCCTCGGGCCTTCCTCCCCAGCCTGGGGATGGAAGGTCAGGCTGGACGAGCTGCAGGCAGTGCTGGCTTTTGGGGAAGGTAAGGCGGATACCAGGGGCCTGTCTTGGACTGAGCATCAGGCCCTCTCCCGGCAAATACGAAACCAGGTCTCCCTGTTGGAGGAACTGGCGGGGGGGATGTCTAGGAAGCTTACAGCATGGAAAAGGGAAGTGGGGGTCCCCCAGGGAGCTACGGCCCACACCAGGGCCGATATCCAGCTGCTCTCTGGGCTGCTGGCTGAGTGCCGTGAACTTGCCAGCAGTGGCCTCCACTTCCTAGAACAGCCCCCCCCGTCCCTGGAGGTGGGAGAGGGTACCGAGGAGGAGGTAGTCCCTGAGACCCCCCCTGAGGTGGCTAGTGCCAGCAAGGCCCCTCAGGCCTCCCTCACCTATGCTGAGGCTGCAAAGGGTGAGGGGGTTGAGGCTAGGGTCTTTATGGGGCTACCTTCTGACAGGCTCCGGGGTCTGCTTGTGTCTTTGAAGGCCCAGCATGCCGAGGCAGACTCGGGCCTAGCTGGGGTCCAGGCAGAGCTAAGGGAGCAGAGGGAAAAATCAAACAGGACCTCTAATTACAAAAGAGGTCCTTTGAGGGCCGCTATAGCTGAGAAAAAATTAGTGGAGCAGCATCTATCCTACATCCTGCTCCAGACTGAAAAGAAAATAGCAGACATCCAGGCCATCCTGCAACAGAGAGCCAAGGACGCTGCGAGGTCCAGGAGGCAGAGGGCTATGGAGGGCAGGAGGGACATGGATTCCAACTCCCATCACTCACCTGGGGAGCCGTCTACCTCTGCCCTTGCTACTCCAGGGGGCGCTGCTGAGACGGAGGGGAAGGCCAGAGAGAAGGACAGTGAAGAGGAGTGGGACGGAGAGAAAGGTGAAGAGTGGCAGCTGAAAGTGCAGGACAGAGGTCGAGGGCTGATTAAGGAGTCTCTCCTCAAGTTTGGAAACGAACTTGGGGAGGACTCCGTAAAGGACAAAAAGAAGAAAAAGAAGAAAAAGAAAAACATCGCCCGGCGTCAGCCTGAGACCTCTGTCAGGGGGTCTGGAGATTCCACAGAGGAGGGTGAGTGCTCAAATGCTGAGTATATGTACAATGATGATGTTCAGGCTTGCAGAAGCCTGGGGGCAGGGATACTAACCCTGCAGGTGGCAACACCTGTATGCTCCAGAAACCTGCACAACCTGCCTCTGTGGAAGTATCTGGGCCCCCCGCCACCCTCCATGGTGACAGGGAGACCATCCCCGCCGGTACTATGGCGTGTACCGGTGATCCCATGGAGGGGTCCTTCCCTTGCTCCCTTCCCACTCCCTCCCTTACCTGCCTTCCCTCTGACCTTCCTCTCCGTGTGGTTGCGTCCCCTGGAGTGGCTGGTACCTCTGCCTCCTGTCCTCAGGTGGCTGCTGGGCAGGATGGCACTGGATGGAGCAGTCTGGAGCAGGGTGATGGCCCTCCTTTTCCCTCTGCTCCCTTGGAGCAAGCTCGACTGCTCTCCCCTACCAGCAAGTCTCCTCCCCTGTTTGTCCCCCAGTCTGTTTCCCTGGATGTGTCCAAGTTTGTCTTCCAGTCTGTTCCCCCTGCTTCCCTATGTGTTCCCCTTATGTCTGCATGTGTAACCAGTCCCCCTGTTGTTCCTGTTGTTCCTGGTGGCCCGGGTGCCGCGGGTGCCGCTGGCGCCATGGAAGACAGGACTGCAGGGGACTCCCATCATCCTCAGCCAGCAGTCCATACTGAGGAAACCGCCAGTGGAGGTAAGAAAAGTTTGACTAACATTGTGTTTGACTCCACTGGTGGTTTAGGGATGGCTGAGGAGGATGGGAGTATGGATGTAACTGTAAATGTAATGATGGGACCTATTGGCCTTAGTAAAAAGGTCCACAGCCAGCCTGTTTGTATTAATGATGTTGCCCCTGCCCCTGGTGTTGTTGCCCCTGCCCCTGGTGTTGTTGCCCCTGCCCCCGGTACTATTGCCCCTGGTGTTGTTGCCCCTGCCTCTGGTTATGTTGCCCCCGCCCCCGGTACTGTTGCCCCTGCCCCTGGTACTGTTGCCCCTGCCCCTGGTACTGTTTCCCCTGCCCCTGGTTATGTTGCCCCCGCCTCAGGTTATCTTGCCCCTGCCCCTGGTACTGTTTCCCCTGCCCCTGGTTATGTTGCCCCCGCCTCAGGTTATGTTGCCCCTGCCCCTGGTTCACTGGAGTTAGTTGGTACACAGGTGGCGGGCACGAGCACGGGCACAGGCACCCTGACAAAGGGTGCCGCGGTTATAAATAGTTTAGACGCACAAGCAGGTACACGGGTTCCCCTTAGGCACTCCCAGGTTGTCACCCAGGGTTCTGGTGTGACCGAGGCCTCTGGTTCAGCGAGGGGAGTCTGTCCGAATCATTCCCAGACGGGTAGCCGGGGGTGCCATGTTTCGCCTACCCGTTGCCCGGGTACATTTGGATTGGGGAGTGGCCGCTAGACATGTGAATGTGGGGGTCATGAAGGACTTACCAGCGGATGTCCTCCTTTGCAATGACTTGGCGCCCCTTGTTTCAGCCTTCGCTCCCATGGGTCCCGCTGAAGTGGACGCTGTCACGACCCGTGCCGCCGAGACCAGCCCACCTGCTGCTGAGACCCAGGCAAGACTCTCTACCCCGACTTGTACCTTAGACCAGGCCCCTTTTAGGCTGGTATACCCCAGAGATGTACGGGAAGGAAACTAGGGCCGATTCTGGGGGAGAAGGAGTAGATGGGGAGCACTACGAGTGGGTGGGGGATAGGCTGTACAGGATCCCGAAACCGTCCCAGAAACCGAGTACCCCTCCGCAGAATCGACAGCTAGTGGTACCTGCAAAATACCGGCAGGAGATTCTGCAGATTGGGCATGATGTGCCGTTAGCAGGCCATCTAGGTTCCCGCCGCACAGCTCATAGAATCACCCAAAACTTTTTCTGGCCCAATTTTAACCGAGATGTGCGGGTTTATTGTAGCACGTGTGACGCCTGTCAACGGGTAGGTAAGCGGGGGTATCACCCAAAGGCTAGGTTTCAGTCGGTGCCTATCATTGGAGAACCCTTTTCCCGCATAGCCGTTGACATTGTGGGTCCACTGGCCAGGGCTAGCCCATCAGGTAAGAAATACATTCTTACCGTGGTGGACTATGCCATAGCGCTGTCTAATATAGAGGCAGAGACGGTTGCTGATGCCCTGGTTAAAATTTTCACTAGGGTCGGGTTCCCTCAGGAGATCCTCTCCGATCAGGGAACTCAGTTCACCGCTGTGCTTACCCAGCAGCTGTGGAAGGTGTGCGGCATTAAACCGCTGCTTAGCTCACCTTATCACCCACAGACTAACGGTCTCTGTGAATGATTTAATGGCACCCTCAAACAGATGTTGAGGACCTTTACTGACACTTGCAGAGACTGGGAGCGATTCCTGCCTCATCTGCTATTTGCATACAGAGAGGTGCCCCAGGAATCTACTGGGTTCTCCCCCTTTGAGTTACTCTATGGGAGAAGGGTCCGCGGACCCCTAGATCTCATTAGAGGACGCTGGGAGGGGGAGACAGAGCAAGAAGGGACCCCCATAGTACCATGTCCTGGAACTCCGGGACCACATGGAGAAACTATCCCTGATGGTAAGGGAGAATCTCCAGGCGGCCCAGGGGAGACAGAACCGGTGGTACGATCGGGGTGCCCAACAGCGGGTCTTCCAGGTTGGGTAGAAGGTTCTAGTGCTCAAGCCTGTGAAGACGAACAAGATGCAAGCATCTTGGCAGGGCCTGTATAAAGTGTTAGCTCAGGTATGTGATACTACCTATCTTATAGCCAGCTGTGCAGATGAAAGGGTTCAGCGATCCTTTCATGTGAACATGCTGAAGGAGTATCAGGAGAGACCAGAGGATGTTGCGGCAGTATGTGCCCCAGCTACTGAAGACCCCGAGAATTTACCCTTACCCGACTTGTTAGAGAAGGATCCCCAGACTGACCTTACTAGTCTTGTACAGCTAGGGGACCGGTTAAACCCTGCAGAGAAGGTACAGGCAAGACGGCTTCTGTAGGAGAAGCAGGCGACATTCTCCCAAGAACCCGGGTACACTACCCTAGCTGTGCACAAGGTCGAGACACCCGGACAGAACCCCCTACGACAACCCCCATACCGTATCCCTGAAGCAGTCCGAGAAGGAATGCGGAAGGAGATAAAGGAGATGACCAGGCTGGGGGTTATCGAGTACTCAGACAGCCCTTGGGCCTCCCCTGTAGTCCTGGTGCCTAAGAAGGATGGGACCACTCGGTTCTGTGTGGACTACAGGCGACTAAACGAGCGGACCACCACTGACGCCTACCCGATGCCCCGGGTAGACGAGTTATTAGACCGCATTGCCAGGGGGC